CGAGTATATAACAAACTCTGTATTTTGAGTGGAAATGTTAGGGGGTCGTCTTATACGCCCAGTCGTCTTATACGCCGGCAAATACGGTAGTCAATTTGACGGGGAAAAAAAACAGACAAACAAACCCAGAACTTTCTTTGTGTTATCAAGCTTTCAGTTTGGTTAAATGTCTGCTTTTCACCTCTGCTTTGGGGTCTTAGAGTGGACAAGGCCTGAACTAGCAGGGCCTGTAGGAGGGGGAAACAGCCATGGGCCAGCTAGTTGAAGGAGCACTGTTCCTAGGAGAGGAGGCAGCTTCTCTGGCTTTATCTGAGTCATTGGTTCACAATTCAAGTTCCCTGAGCCTGCTTTCCTTAACTTCATGCACTGCCCATGTGCTCTCACTTTCTTTTAGAAAAATCTTCAAATCCACAGAAAAATTGAAAGAATAGTGTAATGAACAAACATACATACATGCCCTTCACCTAGATTCGCAAATTAACATTTTGCCCATTTGCACTATCTCTGTATACATATATGTCTTCTGATTCACTTAAAAACTAGTATAGATATCATGATATTTCACCCCTAAATACATCACCATGTTACCTCCCACATAATCATTATACAACGACCACACTTGAGAAAATGAATGTTCATTCAATATCATCTATTATACAGCTCATATTCAAATTTTTCTAATTGTTTAAAAAGTGTATTTTATTGCTCTCTTTTTCCAAGCCAGGATCCATTGTATTTGATTTTGCCTTTTTAGTCTCTTTCGATGTTGGACAACTCCTCTGCCTTTTTTCTCCATGGCATTGTCAATTTTGAAGTTGTCTTGTAGTCTTGTATGATGTCCCATTTTCCTGATTTGCCAGATTGTGTCTTCCTGAGTAAATTCAGATTGAGAATTTTGTCAAGAATGCTACAGAGGTGACATTGCATATCTTTTATCATATTGCATCAGGAGGCATATGATGCCAGGCTCTCTCACTGTTGGTGATGCTATGTTTGATCGCTTGGTCAAGGAAGTGACTGCTAGATCTCTGCATTGTTGAATAAAATACCATTTTTGTAACTAGTAAATAATCTGAGGGGTGGTACTTTGAGACCATGTGAATAGCCTGACCCCAACAATTCTTCACCCCATGATTTAATATCTCTTCGTGATTCATGTTTGAATCAGTTATTGCATTGGGAGTTACAGGATACTCTTTCTAATTCTAGCGTTCTTTCTACATTTAATAGCTGGTATTCTTTTAGAACAAAAAAGACTTCCTTTTTTTTACCTCTTTTTTCTTTCTCTTGCCTGTTTATCATTATACCTATGGACTTCAATACATTTTAATTCATTGATATCATGAATCTTTTTATGCTCAAATTATCCCAAGTTTGTTCAGTACCAGTCACTTCTTGGTGGCTTTTGACAGCATTTCTTAAACTTCTGATACAACACAGTATCCCAGGTTCACCTTGTGCTGTCCTTGATCAGACCTGGAATTGCCCATTTTCTCTGGGATCCCTGTTTTCCTTCCCCCACTGCTTCCCTCCCTTTCATCCTTCCTTCCTTTCATTTTTGGACTTGGTATAGTTTTTAGAAACTGAGATCTGGGCACAATGTTCATGGCTACTGAGGCATCACAGCTTCTAGTCCTTCTCAATGGACAGAGTCAGGAAATGTATATTTAAATTATCAACTCAATATCTCAAGGTTCTTCTTAAGCTTTTCTCATTCGATACTTCTATTTGGCCTCCTCCAAAGGGAAAACCCTGTTTCTCAACCATATTAAGGTTTTTACCTGTTTGCTGTATTCTATGATACACACAAAATACTTCCAGAATTATAACACTATACAACTACAAATTTACTCAGTAACTTGCAGATTTCTTTGCAGTTCTTTTTGTTCTTAAAATTTAGCTTTCTATGTGTACAGAATATTTTGTTAAAATTGAATTATTTTCTCTATGTGATTGTGCTATCAATTTGATATAGTTAGAAACATTTGTTTCAGTCTCTATGCTGTCTTCATTTCTTTTTCTTTTCTGTTTTTTTTAAAGCTGAGCCATCTTGCCACCTGTTGGCAGCTCAGTGACTGCTCAGGTTGGGCCAGGAATCAAACCGCTGTTGCTCAGAGCTCAAACTCTTGAGTGAGCTCTTAACCAACTGAGCCATTCGGCCAGCCCTCTATGCTATCTTCATGTTTTCTCTCTTAATTCCCTTAAAACTGAAGGGATTTTATTTTTGAGTATGTAAAACATGTATATGGTTCAAAGATAAAGATATATAAACAGTGTAAACTGGTGAATTTAGAGAAGTCTTGCTTTCCTACCTGTCTACTCCACCATGCTTTAGGTAAATGTTTTCAATAGCTTCTATTTTATCCTTCCTGTGTTCCTTTTACAAAATATATTTAATTAAAAAAATTTTTTTTACATTTCTTTTATTGTTAGTTTCAGGTGTACAGAACAATGCAATAGTTACCCTTTTCACCCTTCACACAGAAGCAACCACCCTCCCCCATCTACTACCCTCCCACCCCCGATATCATACTTATCTATTACAATTCCATTGACTACATTCCCACACTCTACTCCATGTCCTGTGACTATATGTATATATAATTATAGTAGACATACAGTGTTATTCAACATCAGCTTCAGAAATACAGTGTGGTGGTCAGGCCTCTACACCGTCTATGAACTGGTCTCCCTAACAGTCCATCTGGCCTCCTAAAAAATATTTACAACATTATTGATTATATTCCCCAGACTGTCTTTTCTATCCCTGAGGCCATATTGTAGTTACCAATTTGTATTTTCTCGTCTCTTCCCCTTCTCCTTCATCCCCACCCCTTCCCAACTAGCAACCCTCAATTTTTCCTCTGTGTCTCTGAGACTATTTCTGTTTACATTTCTCATTTATTCAGTTTTTTTAAATCCATGTATAAGTGAGATCATGTGGTATTTGTCTTTCTCTGACTGGCTTATTTCACTTAGCATAATGTTCTCTAGTTCCAACCATATCATTGCAAATGGTACTATTTCCTTCTTCTTTATAGCTGAGTAATACTGCATTGTGTAAATGTACCATAGTTTCTTAATCCAGTTGTCTACTGATGGGCATTTCGGTTGTTTCCAAGTCTTAGCTATTGTGAATAGCACTGCAATGAACATAGGGGTGCATGTATTTTTTCAAATTAATGTCTTGGGTTTTTGTAGATAAATACCTCAGAGTGGAATTGCTGGGTCATAAGGTAGTTCCAGTTCCAGTTTTTTGAGATACCTCCATACTGTCTTCCATAGTGGCTGCACCAGTCTGCTGTCCCACCAACAGTGCACCAGGGTTCCCTTTTCCCCACAACCTCGCCAACATTTGTTGTTTGTTGACTTATTTATGATAGCCATTCTGACTGGGGTAAGGTGGTATCTCATTGTAGTTTTTATTTGCATTTCCCTAATACTTAGTGAGGTTGAGCATTTTTTCATATGCCTGTTGGCCATCTGTATGTCCTCTTTAGAGAAATGTCTCTTCATATCCTCTGCCTATTTTTAAATTGGGTTGTTTGTTTTTTGGTGTTAAGTTGCATGAGCATTTTATATATTTTGGATATTAACCCCTTATCAGATATCTCGTTGAAAAATATCTTCTCCCATTCAGTAGGCTTCCTTTTTATTTTATTGATGGTTTCTTTTGTTGTGAAAATCTTTTAAGTTTGATGTAATCGCATATGTTCATTTTTTCTTTTACTTCCCTTGCCCGTGGGGATGTATCAGTAAAAATATTGCTCAGGGTAATGTCTGCAAATTTAGATCCTATGTTTTCTTCTAGGAGTTTTATGGTTTGAGGTCTTACATTTAAGTCTTTAATCCATTTTGAGTTTGTTCTTGCATATGGCGTAAGGAGGTGGTCCAGTTTCATTTTTTTGCGTGTGTCAGTCCAATTTTCCCAGAACCATTTATTAAATAGACTATCTTTACCCCAATGTAAATTATTGCTTCCCTTGTCATAGACTCTAACTGCCCGTATATGCCTGGATTTAATTCTGGGATCTCTATTCTATTCCATTGATCTATGTGCCTGTTTTGATGCCAGTACCATACTGTTTTGATTACTGTAGCCTTGTAGTACGTTTTAATGTCTGGAAGCGTGATCCCCCCAACTTTGTTCTTATTTCTCAGGATTGCTGTGGCTATTTGGGGTCTTTTTTGGTTCCATATAAATTTTAGGATTATATTTTCTATTTCTGTGAAAAATGCCCTAGGTAGCTTGATAGGAATTGCATTGAATCTATATATTGCTTTAGACAGTATGGACATTTTAACTGTATTAATTCTTCCTATCCATGAGCATGGTAGTTTTTTCCATTTGTTTGTATCTTCTTTTATTTCTTTCTTCAGTGTCTTATAATTTTCTGAGTGCAGGTCTTTTACTTCTTTGGTTAAATTTATTCCTAAGTATTTTATAGTTCTTGAAGCAATTGTAAATGGAACTATTTTCTTAATCTCCCCTTCTGATAGTTTATTATTGGTATATACAAATGCAACTGATTTCTGAGTATTGATTTTGTATCCTGCTACCTTGCTGAATTTGTCTATTAGTTCCAATAGTTTTTTGGTGGAGTCTTTGGGGTCCTCTATATATAGTATCATGTCATCTGTATATAATGACAATTTTACTTCCTCCTTACTGATATGGATGCCTTTTATTTCTCTTTCTTGTCTGATTGCTGTGGCTAGAACTTCCAGAACTATGTTGAATAAAAGTGGAGAAAGTGGACAGTCTTGTCTAGTTCCTGATCTTAAGGGGAATGGTTTTAGCTTTTCTCCATTGAGTATGGTGTTTGCTGTGGGTTTATCATATATGGCCTTTATTATGTTGAGCTATGATCGCTCTATTCCCACTTTGCTAAGAGTTTTTATCATAAATGGGTGCTGTATTTTGTCAAATGCTTTTTCTGCATCTATTGATATGACCATATGATTTTTCTTTTACTTTTTGTTGATGTTGTGTATCACATTAATTGATTTGCAGATGTTGAACCAACTTTGCATATTAGGGATGAAATCCACCTGGTCATGATGTAAAATCTTCTTTATATATTGCTGAATTCTGTTTGGTAAGATTTTGTTGAGGATTTTTGCGTCTATGTTCATCAGAGACATTGGCCTGTAGTTTTCCTTTTTTGTACTGTCTTTGTCTGGTTTTGGAATCAGGGTGGGTGATTGTGGCTTCATAGAAAGAGTTTGGGAGCCTTCTCTCCTTCTGTATTTTTTGAAATAGTTTGAGAAGAATAGGTGATAATTCTTTTTTGAATGTTTGGTAAAATTAGCTTGTGAAGCCATCTGGTCCAGGGCTTTTGTTTGTTGGAGCTTGTTGATTACTGATTCAATTTTCTTGGTGGTAAATCAGTCTATTCAGGTTTTCTGCTTCTTCCTGAGTTAGCTTTGGAAGGTTGTATGCTTCTAGGAAATTATCCATTTCTTCCAGATTGTCAAATTTGTTGGCACATAATTGCTCATAGTAATTTCTTAAGTTTTTTTGTATTTCTGTGGAGTCTGTTGTTACTTCGCCTCTTTCCTTTCTGATTTTACTAATTTGAGTCCTCTCTCTCTTTTTTTTTTTGATGAGTCTAACTAGAGATTTGTCAATTTTGTTAATCTTCTCGAAAAACCAGCTCTTGGTTTCATTGATCTTTTGTATTTTCCTGGTCTCTATTTCATTTATTTCTGCTCTGGTCTTTATTATCTCCTTCCTTGTGCTCCCTTTGGGCTTATTTTGCTGTTCTTTTTCCAGTTCCCTGAGGTGTAAGGATAACCTGTTGATTTGAAACTTTTCTGACTTCTTTAGGTAAGCCGGCACTGCTATGAACTTCCCTCTTAGGACTGCTTTCGCTGCATCCCAGAGATTTTGGGTTGTGATGTTTTCATTTCATTAAAAAATTTTTACATATATACAATAGTTTATAAAATTAAAGAAATGTATATATATGTACATAAATATGATTTTTTCTTGTTCTTGTGTGAATTTATTTTCTGTTTGGATCTCTGATCCCCTTTTCATTTCTTGTGATGTGTAGTATGAGGTAGAGATCCAATTTTGTCTTTTTCCCAATGGCAATCCATTTCAATATCATTTTAAAAACAGGTTCTATTTTCCCCAGGGTTTTATTTCCCACCCTTCTCACGTTCTGAGTTTCCATGTGTACTCGGACCATTTCTAGACTTTATGTTATTCTCCAGGATGTTTGTGATTATTCAGTAGCTGCTATATGCTCTTACTCATGGAGGCTTCATGGTACACTCTACCATCTGGCATGGCTGGTCCCCCACTGTGTTTCATTTTCAGGGCTGCACTCTTGCTCCTCTGTCCTAGCTCTTCTCTCGTGTTTGTTTTTCCATGTGAATTTTACAATCAACTTCAGAATCTATCTAGGGAAACAAACAGCTTGGTATTTTGGGGGGATTGCATTACATTCATGTATTAAAATGAAGACAATTGACTTCTTTACTATGTTAAGCAGTTGTTCACGGAAAAGTTATATTTTCACAAGTCTGTTTTGTGTGTCTCAGGAGAGTTTTCAGATTTTACTCTTACTCTTTTCACATTTCTTATTAAGTTTATTTCTAAATATTTTATGATTTTGATGCTTTGTAAGTGGGGTGTTCCATTATATCTCCTACTTGGCATTGATTGCTTATGGATTTTTTTTTGTATGTTAACATTCTAACAGCTGCCTTATTGAATGCTTTTATTGTTTTTGTTAGTTTTCTTCTTGATCTCTTATTTGCCACTTTTGTCATGTTCTAAATTTCATGATATCATGTCATCTGCAAAACTAGACTTTATTTCTCCATTCTTATGGCTCTAATTGTTCATTCCTCTCTGATTGTGTTGGCTAAGACCAACACAATAATAGTAGAAACAGCATATATACTTGTCTTTTGCCTGATCTTGGTGGAAAAACCCACTAGTGGTTTCCATTAAGTAAGATGCTGGCTTTAGGCCTGAACTACATGTATTTTATTATGTTAAGGAAGTATCCATCAATTCCTATGTAACTGAGTTTTTGAAATCAGAAATGTGTGTTGGATTTGGTCAAAAGACTTTTCAGCATCAGCAGGCATTAACTTACCCTCAGCAGATATACCCTGAGACTGTCCTAGGCAAACCTGGATGTTTTGTTATCAGTTTTATTTTTACTTTCTCTCCTGTTGGTCAGTATAATTTTTGTAGATCATGGTGGAAGATTTGGGTTTAGGTAGCCACTATAATCCTACAGTCTCCAAAAGTCTCTCTCTCTTTCTCAATACCCAGCCCAGGTCTGCAGTCTAATTCACATACCAGTCCAGCCAGCAGATGCTATCTCAGTCCCTGCCCAGCTTATCTTTTCCTGCAGGTTGTGCCTGACTCTTTATGGTTGGGTGACATACCCAATGAAGAGGAATCATTGTCCTGTCAGAGAACAACTTACTCTATGAGGTAGCTCACAGGTGCTACTTCCCCAGCTCTGGGCCACCAGGGATGGAAGGAGACAGCCCTTCTTGTCTGCCTATCTTCTCTGGGCATCAGAAATTCAAGAGAAAATACTGGCTGGGTCCAGCCACTGTAGATCATCTCCTTAAGAACACCTGAAGGGGCTCTTTGAACTCAGAACTTGTTAAAAACGATAGGAAGGATGAACTTTGTGTTGAGCCCCTGGACCTCGAGACCAACTTAAACTCTGTGTTCCTCTGGACCCTTCATACTTTAAAGGACCAGTGCAAACACCTAAAAGCATTCAGGCTCTCTCTTAGAACTCCTTTCCCCACTTCTCCTTCCTGCCATCTTTGCTTATATTCAACTTGTTTGTCTTTCCTATCAGCTCTGCTGCCATCAAACTCTGTAACCTCAACCTCAACCTGTGCCCTGGGTCTCTCACACATCGGGTAGGTAGGCATGCGCTGTCCCTTTTGTGGCCATTGACTTGGCTTGTCACATTGATGCTTCACTCTGCCCCGTTCTGCTCTCATTGCCCCCTCTCCCATAAGGAAATGTTAGTTAGACATCAAGATAATAAAACTGAATACACACAATGGCACAGACAAGTATGCAATGTGAGCATTACATACATCATCTGTTATAACTACAGATAATGTTTATATGAAACTACAGTGAAGTGCTGGTGTGAGTTCAGTCTCAACATGGAGGTGTTAGTGAGGCCCTCAGCTGAGAGGGGCCACAGTGGGTCTCTGCCTGACTTTCAGTCCATGTGCTACTGTATTGAGGTCTGGTTTGGTGACCTCATCATTTCTTCTCTGTTCCTGGTTTATAATATATTTCTATGCTGCCATTCCCTTCCTTCAAAGCTGATACATTAAGTTCGCAGAAGTCTCACCTTCTGCCACAGCGTACAGTTCAGACTTGAAGATAACAGTTTCCAGTTACACTCTCACAGGTCTGTCTACTTTGTTCCTTGTAGCATCTGCCCAGATCTGTGTAAACTCTTCAAGCACACAGAGTGGCTCTTTTCCCTAGTTATGCCTGTTACTCCTGGGGATTGACTCCTTCCCTTTGTGTCATCAGAGTGGATGAGGTGCTGTAGCCTCAGTTTGGCACGTTGAGCTCTACCTGAAAACCTCTCCTCTTTACTTAGAAGCCACTGGTCTTTGGGCCCCTTTCTTTGTTGCACCTGGATAAGATTTGCTGATGAACTTTTCACACTTGTTTAACTGTGTGTGTCACATAAACAAATGCCATGACTAATGAGAGCATCATCACTCTGCTAATAGACTTCCAGATGTTTCTTTTCCCTTCCAGAGAGGCACAAGTGATTGAACTCTAAGTGAGTGGCTGATTCAGGAGGGATTCGGCAGTCTAGAAAACTGCCCACTGCAGTTTTGGCGATGTTTCGAATTTGAGTGTCCAAAGCTGGAGATGGACCTTCACATGGAACTCAATGTCCGGGGCAAATAGAATAAACAGGATCTACAGTGCCTCTGTCTTGAAAGAAAATATCGCTTCTCTTCTGCAAGAAGCTGGCTGTGTAGAGGGAGGCATGTGCACTTTATCCAGGAGTAGGAAAGTATGGAAGCCAATAAATCCTCACTGCCTAGCCTGGTCCCCCATCTTAGAGCTCTTCATGCTTTTATGATGGCATTGTAGGACATGTCAATGGAACCTACCCACAGCAAATGGCTCATGGAATAAGAACCAAACTTAAGACACAGACTCTTTAGCACCACCATTATCAACAGGTAAGCAGCATTTTCCAGAACTGTTTGCCTCACCTTCTTAGCTGCCAGAAGAATCCCCCTGTGAACATTCAGAGGCACTGAACATGGAGACCATGGGGAAATCTCCATTCCTGTAAATGAAAGACTGATCTTCCAAACGAAGAAATGGCAGGTCATACTGGAGTGGTAAGAAGGGGTCTGATGGCCATGGACTGGACCTGCAGCTCTGCAGCTCTTCAAATGATGGTGCCAACAAAGGATTAAATGAGAAAGCAGATGCTGTGCCTTATAGAGTTATACAAATCTCAGCCATTAATGTTATGCTTATAGAATTATTCTGTGGTTATTATTACAACGTGCACACCTTGTGATGGAGGACACAACTGGTAGGGGCTTAGTAAACCCACATCTTTTTATTATTCCTGTAAACCTAAGGTTCTGTGACACAGCTCCCATTAACATTTTTCTCTCCTGTAATATTAACCCTATATTTGTGGGGCTGCATTATGGAGTACACATTGCTTTTCCATTCAACAGAAATCCAGGTGGTTGTATAGACTGGTTTGCCTTGGGCTAGGTTACTCTCCTTGTGTGTGATGAAAGATGAGCTACATTTCAAAACAAAGTGCTGTGTCATAATAATTCACCTGGATTCCCAGGGCATCTTTTCTCTGGCTTGATAACAACGTAGTTCATTAGCAGCCTTTGTTGACTGATAACCTAAAGCTGTAATGTGATACTCATAAGCAATTTTCTGTGTGTAAAATAGAATAAATCATTGTGTAAGCTATCTGTTAATTGATTTGTTTCTTTTATCAGAATTTTAATTAAGACATCTGGTTTGTGAATGGCAGAGACACTTGTGAACTGAAGGTGAATGCTTCTGGATTCTCAGTAATCGTTTTATTTTCTATAGACATAACAGAACCGTGGGGTCCTCTTCCCCATTCCATGTCATGACATGTTTTCCCAGCATCACTCCTGGGCTCCAGCTTTGTTTCATCCCAACAAGTTCTCCTGTGTGAAGAACACAGAGAAGTAAAGACCAGTGTTCTCTCCTCAGGTTATAAAGGCTGACATGCCCAGGAGGTAGAAGGGACTGGGGGCCCTTTGCAATGGGTCTCCTTGGCTTACACCCAAATCCAAGCTCAGGGCTTCCTTCTGTGGTAGTTCTACTGGAAGATTTGGCAGCCCCTCTCAATAGGACCAGCTCCTGGGGATGGAGTTTCCAGAGGATAAACCTTCTTGGATGTGTTTGGAAGCAGCCACAAGAAGCCATTTTGTCTGTGGGTGCAGTGTCTTGAATAAGGGCCATTCCAACTGCCTTACCCTCTGGTTTGGGAGCATTCTAGCAGAGGCCAGGGACTGGGATAACCCTGCCCTCCTAGCTCAGGAGGCCCCTGGGGCCCCCAGAACACAGACAGTTCCAAGACAGTCTATCTCGGCAGGTAGGACACCCTGTCCAAAGCAGAAGGGGCAGATGACACTCAAACACCAGAGGAAAAGCCAGCCCCTCATGAGTGGAGCAGGCTGTAGATGGCAGCAGCCAGCCAGGATCTAAGGGTGTCACTACAGGTTTGTGGATTCCAGGACTCAGTAACTGGAGGAGGGGAAGGTGAGCTGGGGGAGCGCTAACTGGCAAGATCAACAAATGAAGGATGTGTTCATCTCTAGATCTACAAATTAAAACATATTTATGTTGACTATATAAACAAAATCAATACATAAAAATTAAATAAATATGTGTGTATTCTTCTATGTGTGTTAAAAGTATACATATCGTAGAATTCTAATATATTCTGTGATATATTCTGTTATAGAATATATGCGGGTTTGAACAAGTAAATAAATGACATCCCTGTTCATCATCAGAGTTTGCAAATAGTTGAGAGATAGACAATTAAGTCAAGCAGATAGAAATGAAAATATCAGAGTTATAAGTTTTCGAAGGAGTCATGACATGTCAATATCGCTCTACAGCCCCTAGAGTCCTGCTCTGCATCATGGCCCTAATTCAGCAAGAGGTGAGGGTGGCTTGGGTTGCATTGCTGACAGCAAAGATTCAGAGGAAGGATGGGTTTAGGATGGGGTTTGGAGGCGGCGATGCAGGACTTGTTGTCAGATGGATTTGGGGGTGAGGGGAAGGCTGCCTCAGCATCACCACTCCTAGGTTTTGGTATCATTGCCCAGGGGGGGGGGCGGACCCAGGACTGCTAGTCTTTGGAATGATCTGCAGCTGGTCTGAGTCTGTTGTAGCAACTATTAGAGCACCAAAGGTGGGCTGCATTTGGAGAGAGAGTGAACCCCACATTCCTACAGGTGTTCAAGCTTGTGAACTGGGGTTAAAAACACACATAGTGGAGGTGACTCCAGAATGTGTCCTGAAAGCCATGAGAGAAAGCATGAAAGAATTGCCTGGAGGAGTGTAAGGCTCGTCTACTGTGAGATGGAGTGTGCAGAGGGGGTGCCTAGACAGAGGGAAGCTGAGTGGAGCTGAAGATGCCAGCAGAGGGCTTGGTTGGTACCTGGAACAGGAAGCCTAAATGGGCCTGAGCCAGGCTGTGCTCCAGGCCCATCCAGCTGACTGACTCTTTCCTTTCCAAGTCATTTGTCATAATCTTATACACATAAGATAAGTTAATCATCCTTCAAAAAATATGATTTTGCACATGTACATTATCACTGGATGACAAATGAGTGGCACATCTCCCAGGTTGTGTATGCACAGTGCAGAGAAGTCCCTCAGGCCTCCAACATCCCAGCTGCGGTTCTCAGCATATTTTGGGTCTGAGTATTCATGGTCCTGGACTTTCAACGGACTTAGGCTTTCTCTTCAGGGGGATATGTAGATCCTACACCACACAGAGCCACAGGGAGTGCACCGGTTTGGTCAGGAGACAGGAGCAAGGCAAAAGCATGACCCAGAGCCTTCACAGTGTTTTCCACAGGAGAGACAAGGCAGGCCAGGGAAAACAGCTTGGGACTGGCTAGTTTGAATGTTGGTAGGCTCTGGGTTATAGCGGTGATCTCCAGTAGTCTGATACCTGGCTCTGGGTGGTTGAGGGCAGGAGAAATATTATCATGGCGTATGACAGTTACATTAAGGAGGTGGTTGGGGCTATGCACTCAGGATTGGTTGGACTGCAGGGGGATATAAACAACTTTGGCTGTTAGTTTAGCCCTGTGATTAATGGATGTTAAATAGACAAATCCAAAGTCCAAGAATACACAGAACAACTGAAAATCAACACTCTTCAGAGGAAGATAACAAAATCCAGAGTCTCCACAATGTGCATTCACAACGTCCACTATTCAATGGGCCAATACAAAATATTCAAAGAAGCAGGAATATATGACTCTTAAAACAGACAATAGAAGCAGACCAAAATATTTTCATCTATCAATTATTTATCCCCCTCAGGAATGCCAGCTTCTTGAGAACAAAGATTTTGTCTGTCTTATTCCTGTTGTATCTTCAGAGCTTAGAATAGTGCCAGGAAGAAAATAGGTGTTTAATAAACATTTATTGTTATTGACATACAGATGCTGAAAATATTAAAAGAGTATAAGAATAACAAAGAACACTTTTATAGTAGTAAATATGAACATCTAGATAAAATGGATGATTTTCCAGAATATTTAAATAACTATAAGTGGCTCAAAAAGAAGATGAAAAACTGAATAGACTAATTACCATGGGGGGAAATTAAAAATAAAAGTTGTAATAATTACTGCTTACATCTTCTTCAATAATGCTCCATCAATTAAACTCTCTCACTAACAGTATACAAGCAACGTTTCCCCCACACACACTCATCAATGTTTTTTGCTTTTAAAATATTTTGTCTTTTTTTATTGATTGAAATAATCTCCAGTGTTATACTTAGTTTTTTAATGTGTACCATTTGTAATTTTTTGTTACTATAAACCACACTCAATGGTAATTCTTGTGTATATTCTTTTGGCATAGACATGAGAATTTCTCTAGGGCAGATAGAATTTTTACTTCTAAAGCCACAGTGTGTGTAGCATGGCCAGTGTGAAAATGGTCTCAGTGGTAGCATTATGTATAATGGTATTAAACCCTAGTATTACAGGGACCCTGGTCTCCAAGGGTGTTGGACCCTGGTATTGGATGGAAATACTTTCCTGTTTGGCGTCTTTGTCCCAATTTGCATCTCATATTTGGCTCCCGTGCCACACTGCCCTTGGACAGAGGGAAGGAAATAAGAGTTCCTTTCGCTGGCCTGAAGGGTTAGCCTGAGGGGGTGGACGCTCTTGGCCAAGAGAGTCCCAGGTCAGGACGTGGACAGAAGGAGCTATAAGATCACTGTGCAGAAAGGGCAGCAACATGGTAGAAACAAGATTAGGGGACAGGGACAGCCCAGTGTCTGGGTGAGGTGGAGGGTGGGGGTGCTGTGAGGGCAGCTACAGGTAAGGGCTGAGTCAAGCTGAGGGGGACCTGTGGGTGTGAGGCCTAAGTAGCAGGAAGGACAAGTGTGTACTCATTTCTGGCTTGGGAGTAGCTAGCTGAGAGATGGCTATTATTCTTACTGGTTAGATGAACTGATATGGGACAGGCCTTAAATCAGTATAGGCTCTCTAGGTATGATGCCAGACATGGAGTCCAAGCCTATTCAGTTCATCACAGTGGCTGTGCCAGCTTGACCCTAAAAAAATGATTAAAGTTGTAGAGGACCATGCGGAGGGTTTTATGCCCCTGAACTATGGGGCTGCCTCCCCTCCCGATAAGGTCCAGACAGAGGGGGATGACTTCACTCCCTAGAGAGGGGGTGGGCAGAAGAGTAGGACGGCAGGAAAGGAATGTGCTCTCAAAGACAGAGAAGTTTTTCCACGAGAGTGAAACTTTCTAGAGAGAAAATAATGTTGACAGATGTTTTATGATGATTGTGATGATGATGATGATGATGATTTGGAAGTTTAACCATGTAAAACCCTTGATGTCCCCATAAGGAAAGATGGATTCCAGCCAGGAGGGCATGACTTGGTCCCAGGCAGGCCAAAATCATCTCCTTTCATTGACTTCCCAAATGAGGATGGTAATAACTCACCCAGATGAGGGAAGAGATTGCGAGAAGGGAAAAGAGGAACTGGCACAATCCCGGGATGGGGGGGGTGACAGGAGGTGATGGACACCTGGAACTTACAAGTGGGGGTGTCACGCCCTCAGGCATCACCTGGGTGCTGAAAGAAGCCCCTCCACAGCCTGCCCCATTCTGAGAGCAGAGCCTGCATTCCTGCTGTAAAAGCTATGAGGGAAACCACCAAAAGGTCGTATTAAGGCCAAGGCCAACAGAGAAAACTCAAATGTAGTGTAACTTCTAAGCTCCAGCTATTGCTCATGAAATCAGTGAGGCATTTTGTCTCCCAGAGGGAAACAGCTCTTCAAATTAATGATAATTTACAATACGCATTTAGCATTTCCCTGGCACGATTTTAAATAAACATTGTAAAGCTGCCTTTGCCTTTACAAGATGGAAGTAATGCCAAGTCTGGGGCACACACTAGCTCTTTGAGGGGTTCAGTTGCTCAGCACTGGTGGATGGCAGTGGGTGGAGGAGCTGTGGGATGGGGCAGGTGTCCAGAGGGGGCTGGGCAGACTCTGGTGGGCACTGTGACCATCCGGCTGGCTGTGAGGGGAAAGCCTGTACTGTAGATGGATGCAGGCCCTAGTTCAAATGCCTGCTCCGCAAGATAGCAGCTATTTGACCTTGGGCACTAACTTTCTGGAACTACTGGAGAATTAGGGTCAGGGCAGTG